TTGAGATAACCGGAATTCTGATTGATATAATCAGAATATTTTGATTTGTCCATTTTCAACTAAACATTTTTTTCAGTGTATTATTATTTTTTATCATTCTACACACTAGGAGTGTTTTTATAAATATGAGGCTTATATAAATATGAATATAAATACAAAAGACCAAACGTTCAGTGACCAGTCCTTCAGACTCACACTTCGTGAAGTGGCAGACGACCAGACAGGCGTCAGAATCGGTACAATTCCTTCGGAGCAAATTCTTCGGAGCGCGCGGTCAAGCGCGCACCGACCTTTCTCCAGAACTTCATAAAGATTTTAAACTTTCAAGGGCGAGTTATCGGCGGCCCGATGAATCGGCCGATCCGCTCATTCCAAAAAAAAGTTTTCCTTCGAGTCACGGAATTCTCACGAAAGAATCCTCACTTCTGTTTCACTTTTTTAAAACCTTGTACAGAAAGTACAATGAACTGACTGCCCGTTCGACAACGCGAAACTCATCGGCGAATTCCGCGCACCGTAAGGAGAGCACGAGTGGTCAAGCAGCCGATCAACGTAAGCCGGCGATCGCGTTAGGTCTCAAGAACGAAACGATGATGTGTCAGTGTGTGAAGTGAAAGAGACGCTGCGCGCGCCTCTGCTCTTTCGTTCTCGTTCTCTTTTCGGTCGCCCCGGATCGGTCCATCCTCTTCCGACTCAGGTTCATATCCACGGATTTCCCCACTTTCAGCTTAAATCCGCTCGTGTATATATATTCGTAGAAACCAAAGGCCACGTGACGCAAAATCAAATCACACAATGTATAATTGATGAGCTCGCGCGAGTGGCGAATCGTCTGCCGTCTTGGAGAAACACGAAATACCTATCGCTGCGCTTGGCTTAGCGCCGAGACACTACCGTGTTTCCAAATATTGTCGATGACCAATTTCAATTATAACTGATCACAGAATTCAACGCCTTGAAACTCATTGAAATTCATTAAGTAGAACGTTAAATTGGACACCCTTTTCTCTTTGATCTTTCAAATACGTTTGTATAATCGAATCGAATGTTCCATTGTCTTTCTTGTTTACCCATATCTTAAGTTTTCTTGGTCTTCATTGACTGTTCCATCTCATTACATAGCTTATATACTTTACTTTCACTCTTATATCATATACAAGGTTTTCTTAAAATGATTTTCTTCTGTATACCGAAATGACCGTATGCGATATGATGCAATTTTTGTTACGTAACTTGTACGAGAAAGCCTACCATAAATCCTTTTTCCTTTAATATGGCAACAGCAATACTGATTTATATACTCTATCTGTGATAAAGATATCGAAAACTATTATACATATTGTTCAAAAGCTAGATTACTGATAATTCTTTTTACAGTAAATTAAGATCTTCTTTAATTCGAAATCGATTTTGTTCTTAAAAAATTTCAAAAAATTTGATTAATATATTTTTATTAAGTTATTGAAAAAAATAAACTTTTTGTAAATTAAACTTTACAAAAGTAACAAAATTACGTTTTTTAATTAATCTCATTGACAGATGGAGTTCACTAGAATTTAATTTAAAATATAATTTGCTTGCATAATAATAAATTAATCATTTTCTTGACATTTTTGTTAAATAGAAATTAAGACTAAATATAAAAAAAAAATATCTATCGCTGAAGTGACTTCTTATTTTAGAACACAAAACCTATGAATACATACGTTATTTATTTATTATAAACTACACATACACTTCATAAAATAAATACACTTTATAATGAAAAATTTCACTGGGAATCAGTAAGTTGGCATCAACCAGCGATTATGATTGGATAGGCATTTATGAGAGTGGTTCACCTCATTGAACCTGTAATTTTGCTAAACAGGCTACTATCAGTGTGCTACTTATCTCAATTTCTCTCTCTTCACGTCATAGGGTGATATTTCATTTATCCGTTTTTGTCGTACGACAAATATGCAAATTCTCGGATCTCTCTATCCACTCAACAGGCTTAAAAAATTTGTCGTTCGACAAAAACGCATAAATGAAATAGCACCCTACGACGTGAAGAGAGAGAGAAATGAATGAAATAGAGTATGCGATACGTAGAAGATAATAAGTCAATTATCATATTAACATATAAAAGTTGTTTATATTTCAGAAACGATTGAGTTTTCGATTATGTTTTTGGTATGTTTAATAAGGCTTTTTTACTCACTCAGTATGGTATATACTATCTACCATATATAGTGTTTGTAAATGTTGAATGTGTTTTTTTAACACCTTGTATATAAGGTTAGATAGGATATTATTATAAAATTATGTATAACTATATAATGGATTATACATAATTATATATATATATATCTTTATTATAATTTGATGTATGATTATATATGAAAAATAATTTTGCAACTGTCATTATTAATTGCAAAATAGTTATTTGCGTAATAGTTATTTATTAGTTTCCGCTGATTAAATTGTAGGTCAGACATTGCGGTCAACTATGCTTGTAAAAGTGGCCTCTTTAAAAAAGGATTATATCAACTCACAATCAGGGTCAACGAGTTTTATCATTAGCCAGTAACATGTAATCGCGAATGAATGTCGGAATCGTTAACTAAATTGCTTCTGCTACAACAATCCGCATTGTGACTACAAAAGTCTCTTAACTTCAATACAAGTGAAATTAGTCAGAAGATTAACTCGTAGCGATGTAACATAAAAAAAGGATTAAAAAACTAATAGTAATTTGACAAGAGACTAATAATAAATTAAAAACACACGAGACATAATATCAGTGCTGTACAAAAGATTTTTAGGGCCCAAGTATAAATGCGAGGATGAGACCTTTACCTGTTTATGAATTTAGCTAGCATATATACATACATACATACATACTTTTTATAAATAAGCGGTTATTTTCTCAGAATATATATGTGTATATGTTGTGTGTGTATATGCATACTGTACGCAGCGAAAGACTTAAAATAGATAATAGAATAATTTCAATAATTTATCACTAAAAAGTAATAAAAAATCATTTATCACTGATCTCTTTATCTCTTCATTACTCACTGCATAAAAATTTAAATAACGTCAATGTATTCAAATAATAACTGCTTGTTAGATTGCCTAACGATCGCTGTAAGGCAACTGTTGCCAGATTACATGTACCATCTTATCACAGTCAAATATAAAAGTTGTTCGATTACAATATTCAGTAATGAAATAATAAATACCTAAGGTAAAAGTATCGATTAGGGAACCAAGCTCCAATGACCTTGACATATGTTGTCAAGGTCATGACCCTGAGTGACCTCCAACAAAGTTTTAGCCGTCGCTCGTCCTTCGTTAAAAAGTTATTAAGTTCTTTGCTTATAATAACGTAATTATAAACTTAAATTAGAAAACGATATGAAATATACATATAATAAAAATAGATAAAAAATATGTAAATACTGTGCATGTGTGGGCGAAACATGCAAAAATATACTCTTATGTGTGAAATATGCAAAAATATGCTGTAACATATATGGCTTAAAATGCATAATTTCTTATGAAACAAATTTGTATTTAGTTTATTTCTTTATTAGTCAAATAAAAAAAAAGATGCCCTATACATATTTTGGTTACCTTCATAACATATATACTTATACGTTATTTTTTCAAATTTTTTTGTTAATAACTTTTTAACGAAGGACGAGCGACGACTAAAACTTGTTGGAAGTCACTCAGGGACCTTGACAATATATGGTATATCAAGGTCAAGGTCATTGGAGCTTGGTCCCCTAATCGATACTTTTACCATATTTAATTATATTTAAATTATTACTTTATGATTATAATTTAAATATGAAATTAATTTGGACGGAAACAATACAAAATAATAATCTTTATTTTAGACCGCATATGTAAGAACACAGTCAATTAGTAATTAAGCAGCCTAAACGATTGAAGCTAGATCTTTAATGCTTAAATAATTCAATCTTGAATCACTAAATATAGTATATATGTACTTGCATATTATATCATATTTTGTCTTTGAACTGTGCGCTGAATTTTTTCCAGACTATAAACGCAATTAAACTACTGCAGTAATCTCATGAATTAAATTAATTTTTAACAATTTCGATGCTCAATCAAGCATCATGTTCTAAAGATGTTAATATGCTGAAAAAACTGTAATTAAATTTATTGCGAAAAATATTACCTCAGTCAGAAGTCGAACCCGGATCGCTTGTATTATATTTCGTACGAGCGTCCTAAGCCATTAGACTACCGAGACAATAAAAAATAGTTATATTTAAATTTTTCGAAGTCCGTTTATACTGACGGCTTTAGTGCAGAATATCCAACGCCCCTCTTTGCACGGCCCTGTATAAAATATGTTTAGAAATATAATCATGGTATAATTAAAGAACAGAATTAATTAATTAATAAAACCAATCTCTAAATTTTACGTAAAATCCATATATATATGTATACTAAAAAAAATTTTGTTCATTTTTGGTCCAATGAATGATCGTTAATCAATGTCCGACTTAATGTCCGACTTAATGTAGTTAATTCATTGATACAATAACTGGATTCATTTATACAATTATATATTCATTCTTGCAATGAATTCTAGGAATAGTTTTATAATCTAAATCATTATGAGAATTCATTGGACCAATTTTCATTATTTTTTCATAATTCAATGAATATTTTATTGTATCTACGTACAGTTTTGGTTCAGTGTATAAACTAAAAATTTGTTTGTTGTAATCTTGTTGCAAGTAGTAATCTTATAACTCTCTCATTGTATGAAGGTATTTACGTGCCAATATTTTCTAAAATGTCATTTCTTTTACGTAACTTTTCATCATGTCATCCGCGAATCGATCAACATGCAGCAACTCTGTTGAAGTAGAATAAAAAATAACAAACAATAGATAAATAGTTACGTGATAAATAATTGCAGCTTCTAACTTGACGTAATAATTTGCTTACGATATATATAATACATATTCGATTACGCAAAAGTTGAGATCTTTCGTTTAATCTAAAAACACGAAAAATTCTACATGGAGCCACGAGAATTTCAGCAAAAGGAGAAAGTGCCATGACTTCTCGACTTGGCCTTCAGTACAATCACCCGAGCGAGATGACGGTTTAGTCTTGCCTCGGCTTTCATTCCTCGAACATCTCTCACCGTGCCGGTATCGAAAACATAAATAAAAGTGAGGGTGGATAAAAGATAAGGGACGAAACAAAGTGTTTGGTAAGAAATATCTTCGAAAGAAGCGACCAATCACTTTTGTTGCGTTACCGAAATATTTGGCGCGATTAAGTAATACACTTTCACGTGTTAAAGCCTTGAGATTCTCGCAAATGTTTTCTCAATTGTGACATCATATTTACGTGAAATTAAAGTTGTGAAAAAATGTATGATCACACAGAGCTTTCAGTAAAAACATTAATTAAAATTAAGGAAAGTTTAATTTAATACGTTTCTTTTTATCACATAAATAATTCTAGAATTACAAGCAAATAATTATAAACAAACATCTTGTAAGCACAAAATATTATAAGACCATTATGTGAATACATGATAAGTAACAAAAAGACCAGAAGATCTTATTGGTCTGAGCTGGACTTTAATAACATTTTGGTATGAATTTATATATCCTCCAATTCTATAAATATCTCTCGACAAAAATACGTCGAAGAAATAACGACATTTTTGTAATAAAAAATTAAAGGAAACTATTTTTTTGTGATCTTTAACATAAATATTTTTCTTTTTCAGATAATTACGAAGAGCGCGAAATAACGAAAAAAATGTTAATAACAATAGCATTTTGGCTGTTAGTTACTTTAATTTGTTTTTGGATTCTACTTGGTCCTGTTACAAGATTTCTGCGTGTTCTATGGGAAATTATTATGCAAATATACAATAAGAAGGCAATCGATCTGCGAACAAAGTTCGGCGAATGGGCAGGTAAGTCCAAAAAGAAATTATATGTCTCTTAAATTTTAATTAACCTGATAAATATTATTTAATTTACAAATATCATTTAAATTATTGAAAAATCTTTGATTATTAACTGTGATATTTTATTTTATCATTTTGTACGGACATTTGCAAGACAAAAAAAAACAATGAACGTTTCGTAAAAAATAACTATATAGAAATTTATATTAATTACAATATAAAAGTAAATTATGTTTAAATATTATTTTAAAAAATAAAGGAAATAGACTAATTGGAATCGGAACTGTAAACAGTACGTATATTTTTTTATATAATGAAGTTTAATAATATAATTCAAGATCACATTAAAAAGAAAAATTATATTGGTTAATTTTAAGCCATCATCAGCTAAAGCTAATAAAAAGAGGTGTGGTCTAAATTACACTGGCTACGTTTACACCGTGCGCTTAGTCCGCGACCTTTACGATAGATATCTTTGTTTAACCTACAGGATAAACAAGGACATCTATTGTATAGGTCGCGGCCTAAATGCACGGTGTAAACGTAGCCACTATGCCATCAAAGTCCATGTGAAATAGTCAATTATTCCTCCATTGGAGAGTAATCCCATGCCAGTTAGGAAACTGGACGACATAAATTAATTGAATGCATCTCAAAGAAGCATAGAAGATATACATATTCGAAAAGAGGTAAGGTAGTAAATGCAGTGCAAGGTTCAGATTACAAATAGTAAGAAAGATTAAACTACGATGCAGAAATTAAAGTAATATCACCCGAGATTATAAGATATTATAAGATAAAATATGATATTATAAGATAAAATACATACAGTAATCAAAGATAGAAATTGAAAGTTCAAGAACTGACAGAGTAAATGTATCAAACGTTGCCAAGTCAGAAACTATATGTAAATATTTTAGTTTCTGACGTGGCAACGTTTGACATATATTTACTCTGTTAGTTCTAAAACTTTCAATTTCAATCTTTGATTAACTGTATGCATTTTATTCTTGTGTGATACCATTTTAATTTCTGAATCACAGTTTAATCTTTCTTAGTCTTTCACGTACGAGTAAAATACTATGTATATTACTGTTGTGTAATATTTTAATTTCTGACTTGTCGTTTAACCTTTCTTACTATTTATAATCTGATATTTACTATCTTTTCGAATATATATACATCTTCTTCGATGCTCCTTTGATATGCACTCTATCAATTCGTGCTATTCAGCCTTCTAACTCTGGCATGGGATCATTCTTCAATGGAGGAATGATTAACTATCTTACACGAATCACGGTCAATGACAGCTAGACTATAATGCGCAAAAGAGCATATACCTTTATATCGTTAATATCTTTAATCTAGTTTGATAGATTAAAATTAGCTGAAATGTTTTTCTATTCAATATAATCTTAAGTTATTACGTATTAAATATCGTTATATGAAAAATAAGCATATCGTTTACAACGCGATTTCTACAAACCATTTCCTTTATTTTTTAAATAATTTTTAATTCTCGGTAATCTTATTTATCTATTTATAAACTTTTAAATTATGTTTATTTTAAAAATAATCATAAACATTTTAGTTGTCACTGGGTCGACTGACGGTATTGGTAAAGCTTATGCTAAGGAATTAGCAGCAAGAAACATGAATCTTATATTAATCAGCAGAAACTTAGAAAAACTTAAACGCACAAAAGACGAGATGCTGTTAATAAATCCAAAAATCAAAGTGAGGATTCTTGCGGCAGATTTCGCCGAAGGAGAAAATGCTTTTACCAAAATCCATTCTCTTTTGCAAGATATATCCGTTGGCATATTAGGTAATTAAATTGATTATTATTTTCACTGTAATAATTTAGTAGCTGTAAATATCCCAGTGATCAGACATGTATCTATGTCTGGACACTTACACAAAATTTATTATTATTAATCCCAAATGCTTTTTTAAATATAATATTGTAATTTAATTGTAATTTTTAAATATAACTAAATTATAATATTGTAATAAAAAAAGCATTTGAGATTAATAATAATAAATTATGTGTAAGTGTCCGGACATAGGTACATGTCCGGTCATTGGGACGTTTACCTTAGTTCATTGCTAACATAAGATTAGAAAGAAATAACTAAAAATCCATGTATGAGCTGGTTTTTTTTAAGTATAAGTCTAATTTTGAAAAAAAGTTTTAGCTTATTTAAAAATAACATTAAAACAACTCTAATATGATTATTAAAAGTCACTTTTTATTTAGTTAAGACTCATTTTAATGTTATTTTAATATTATCGTGATCATTTAACGTTATTGTTCTGCTTGAATATACTTTGCAATTTCCAAAAATAGTTTTGATCTCTATTGACAGATCTCTATTGACGATCTAATTGAAATCCTTTTCAATTAGTGACCTTTAGCAGACTTGCATATGTAAATGTTTCTTTTAAGTAATATAAGTAGTATCGATAGACAACAAATTATTTTAAATCGCGTATATCCAACCTTGAACAAAGTTCCAGCAAACCATTCGTGCGAGTAAAAATATTCAAATGTGTAAACGGCTTTAGGCTATATTATTCAATTAAGGTATTATTAGTAATATTACAATGTCATCTATATGCTGTAAATGATAGCTCTATTTTTCTCAAAAATTATTAATTATTAATATTATTAATATTTTTTTGTATTTATATTAAATAGACGTAATTTGACATGTAATACTATTTTTTTATTGTTACTATTATTACAATTTGTATTTTATAATTATATTTTAAACTAGTTTACTTCAATTGAAATCTAAACATAAATTTGGTCAATTAAAAGTCAATATAAGTCAATTTTTTACAATCTATTATTTTGAAAGTGATATAACTTGTCGTCAACAAAAATATTGTTTTACTAAAGTAATGCTTATAAAAATCATATAATAGATAATATAATAAAATTACGTGTCTAATCCCGATTTATACGGTGCGACTTGATATATATGCGAGTTATAAGGCCTGTTCTTTTTGGCTGAACTTTTGCACCAGTTCATCTTTCTTCCTTATCTCTCCAGGAAGTGAACTGGTGCAGAAGTTCAGCCAAAAATAACAGGCCTAATAACGTCAGCTGAAGATATCAGATATTAGCTTCATGTAAATAGATTGACCAATTTACTGATCGTGTGAATTTAGCAATATTTAGTAAAGCCAGCTACTTCAAATATTGTTATTTTACTATCTACTAGCCTTCTCTGATCACCACGCATAAATATATAAATCAGCTATTCGCCTATTATGAATGCACAAGTCAATATGAACCGGTAGCTGTCGAAATAGTACGTAATAGAGATCTTAATGCCCAGTTTACATGATACGAGTTAATTGACATACGAGTTGATAACATCAGTAGTTAAAGATCATACTGGCTTCGTGTAAATGAATTAGTCGAGCTTACTGACCATGCAAGGTTAGTTAGCATCTGGCAAGGCCAGCTACTTCAAATATTTTTGTTCTACTATCTACTGACCTTCTCCCACCATATAGATAGATCAGCTATTGGCTCTTAAATTGACCCGCACAAATATATAAATCAGCTATTGGTCCTGGTTTACATAGTGCGAGCAGTTAACTTGCCAATAAAAGAATAGCTATCCTTCAAACTGTATGATCACCTACTCGGTTCTTACTGACCTTTGTTATTTACACGATTTAAGTTACTAGCTTGACAGTAAATCAGTAATACTGACTTCCGACACTTTTGATGATTAAGTTATCTCAGCCATAAGTTCTCTATTACATACTGTTTGGGTAGTTACTGGCCATATTTATTTATGCATTCATAAAGTGCCAATAGCAACTGATATTTGCTATTTGCGCGTAGCCTTCATTATTGATGTTTACAAGAGAAGTTTCAAAACTGATGTCCGGAACCGATTTGATTCTCTATAAAATATGTTGTTAAATACAAAAATCTAAGAGACACGTATTTTTTATACGTGCCTTAACTCATGTCAAAGGGGTGTTTCACGCCTTAAACTTCAATGATGTGAAGAAAAAATTTTTTTTTTAATTTTTTTGTTAATAATTATTAAATAAAAAAAATTAAAAAAATTTTTTTTCTTCACAATATTTTTTTGAAATACTCTTGAAACCGTATAACTTTTGTTTAAAAATTTTTTTTCCAACTTTTATACTTGCGACGGTATTCGGCTCGAAATAGAAATACCGTTTTTTTCAAAGAGATGTTTCACCCCTTAAACATGAGTTAGTGCACGTATAAAAAAATACGTATCTCTTAGATTTTCATGTTTAACAACATATTTCATGGAGAATCAAATCGATTCCGGGCGGTTGTGAAACTTCCCTTGTTAGTATTTTCCAGCAAAAGACATAAATGTAATATATATAGTGTAACAGTGATCATGTCTCTGTTTAACATTGACAAACAATAAGAATGATTTACTGATTACACTGTGTTTCTTGCTGAGAACTCACTATCACCCGCACACCAACTCGCCCATATATAACAAGAGCAAAGTACGTAGTTAATCATCTAGTTTAGAAGTATTGGGTTTGGAACCATAAAGTTATAAAACTTATATTTAAAAAAAAGAGCTTATATTATATATTAAATAATTATTACTTAAGAAATGTGGAAAATCAAAGATTAAGAAAGTAATTAAGTAATAGCTATTTCTCTCTTAATTTACGTTTTCATGAATGATCACTATTTGTATTATTTTTATAAATAATTAAGTGATGAAAGATTGAATAATCTTTTGATTGAAAAACAACATGAACAAGAGCTCGATTCTCTCACCGTCTGATTTCTTTCTAAAAATAAATATAATGAGATCCTGTAGCACAACGTCAATACAAACAGGTTTACTGAATTAAAAAAACTAAATTTTTAAAAACACTGTATACATAATTATACGTAATTAACATGCATAATTTGTTATTTAATATTAAAAATACATATATGAAAGTTTAGTTCGTAATATATGCAACGCAATATATATATATATATACAATGTATTATATATATATAAGGTAAATGGCCAAAACAAGTAATAAAATAAATATGACACAAATATTAAATTTTATTCACTATTATAACAAATGAACAAGCACAGACACGTTTCGAACTCACAGATTTTTTCTCAGTAATGCTCAGAGTAAACATAGAAAACTGACCGTATACATAGTTAAATAAATACGAAAGTAATAAATAATAGTACATAAACATATAGAGAAAAAATATTATTAAGAAGTCATATCAAAAGTTAAAACACATACATAACATAATAAATAAACAAACATTAAAAATTTATCGAAATTTCCAGTGGGAAAAATTGTAAAAGGTAGAAGCACATTGTGGTCCATTGTTTTAAGGGGATCCTAAAGCGAAGCTCGAACTCCGACAAAGTCACTCGATGTCGCTGTTTTTCCAGCACACCGACATGTCTTTATATACTACCACACCAATATTTCACGCAACCTATGATACACGCAGTCGCATGTTCGTGTCAATTTTCGTATGACAAATTCGTCGCGATAAAGCGTCTAATTGTAAGTGTAATTCTAAGAACTCGATGTTATTTGTTCGTGCAAATTACGTGTTTGTGAATCACTATATTTCGATAAGTATAAGTTGCAAAACTTTTGTATCAAGCAAATGTTGTCACGACTTGACAGCTTGAGACGCCATATTATATTAAGAAATGGTAAAAAATATATCAATTTCGAAATTTTTGGTCGGTCTCGGCATAAACTCCACCTCACAAACACGTATTAATGCGTATATTTTAATTCTGAAAAAGGATTTTCGAATCTGTGAAAGAGAAAAAAAGTATTTGTTATACAAAAATTACATGATTTAGGCGGTAATACAGGCGGCTTTAGGATCCCCTTAAAAAGATGTAGTATTGGTAATTATAAGATATTGGTAATTATAAGGTAATTAAAAGATGTAGTATTAGTAATTATAAGTTAATATATATAAGTTAAAAGTTAAATAAAAAGTTAAAAGTTAATAACTTTTTTAACTTAATTCAGTTAATTTTAAATGAATTAATTTTTAACTTAACCTATAAGTTACTTTTAACTTTAATAAAACTTCGTAACCCGGGAAAAAATGAAGAAGATTTCATATATATATGGATCAAATTAGATCAAATAAGATCAAATTGTATCTGATGAGAATTTTTAAATATAATCAGATCTTCAGAAATCTAGTTTGGCACATGATTGATGTTATATCCATTAAGATCTTAATAGATAATCTGCGATATAAATAAAATGCTATATTGAATATAAAGAAAGCATATTGTAGATTTACGAGAATATATTGATATATATGAATATTTAACTTTATACAATGAAACTAAATATAATAAATATTAGATCTACAGAGATATAATAATATCAAAGAAGATATAGGTATATATGTACAAGTGTAATCTGATAAAAATTGGCGTACATATCTACAGAGATCTACAGAGATATAATAATATCAAAATAGATCTACAATCAGGCCGAAGGTATAAGGCAGTAAGGCACAATTGCAATTTTGTCGCATTTCACGAAAAGTTAAGTATCTTGACGAAAAAAAATCTCAGAAGTGTTTTTAATCACGCATTTTAAAGCTTAAAAATATATTATATCTAATGAGATAAATGTTTATATATTAGGATATAAATAGATCAAAGTATATCTACATCGATCTACTTTGATCAGGTCAAAATGAAGATCTCTTAAGATCTTTTTTTAGATCTAATGAGATCTACATATATATAGTGAAATCTTCTTCATTTTTTTCCGGGAAGGATGTCACGTTTAGCACATTAAAAAACGTAAATTGAGAGAGAAATAGTTATTACGTTCATGTCCATAGAACGTCCCTGTGCTATTAGGGAGCAACTTTTAATAACTACATTTATTTTAATTCACATTAAATTTAACTACATTTATTTTATAAGCCATTAACTTTAACTTAATTTAGTGAAAAAAAAACATTGACATACCCAACTTTGATAGTATAACCATTTCTTCAATCTTAGGCGAAAAAGTATTAAGTCCTAGTGATATTTAAATCAATATAATTGTCAAAGTAAAAAAAATAAACGATTTATGTAGTCAAAATGATAAAAAATTTAAATCCATGAAAAATACTAACGAAGATTGTTTCATAATTTTAAAGGTGTGAAACCAGACCTATAATAGTATTCTAGGAAATCAAACTCGTATCTGTAATTAAAACCAAAGTAATTTACATTAAAAAGAAAAAATTGCGATTTTAAACTGATTTATTTTGCGAAAAATTGATTTTTCTATTTTTCTAACTAAAAGGGATTATTTTAAAAATCAATGTTTTTGTAAAGAAATTTGACTGAGGCGAGGAGCGCACAGTTTTGCTGATTGTGAGTATCAGTGTGCTCCTCGCTGCCCCTGATGAAGTGAACGGCAAGATTCACGAAACATTAGCAATTAAAAATTATTTTTATGTTCTTTTATTCTCGTCTTAAGTGGTCTTTTTGTCTGACTAACATTTAAAATGCATTTGTCACTTAATGTCGCGACGCTTCAATGTTCTGCTCGCTTTATTATCAGAGGTCATTCTCCCATGGAACAAAGAGTATAGATAATGCATAACGTGATAATACACAAGTCAAGGGTACATAAATTAATACATACCTAAATTAATTTAGCATCGATCTCCAAATATGCAACATTAAATGACGTTTCTATATGGATACGATATATTAAACGATTTTTGTTTTAAGTGAACAATGTAGGTAAGCAATACGAGTATCCCATGTATGTCGGAGAGGTACCCGAGAAGGAACTGTGGGACATTATCAATGTAAATGTGGGCGCCACTACGTTAATGACGCGGTTGGTTATCGGGCAGATGCAAAAACGCAGACAAGGAGCGATTGTCAACGTCTCCTCCGGATCTGAGTTTCAGCCGCTGCCGTTGATGACGGTATACGCCGCTACGAAAGCATATGTGAAGAGTTTCTCCGATGCTCTCAGGGCGGAATACTCCAGATTCGGCGTAACTGTTCAACACCTGTCGCCTCTTTTCGTCAATACCAAAATGAACGCATTTAGCTCTAGGCTTCAGGTATCGAAACTTATTAGAATATTATTAACCCCTTCGCTGGCACGTTCATTTCCACAATTTGTGCCCCGGTGGGCAGAAAAAAGTTTTGAATTTTTTTTTCGCACTTGGTATTTATATATATAGGGGGTTTTTAGAGTGCTAATTCCGATTTTGAGGTCAAAATTAAGAAATTCAAAATGGCGGATCCAATATGGCAGACCTTAATTTGAAAAAATTCACGTTCTTTTTAAAACATTTTAAAATTTGACTTATGGAGGTTTTCAAGGGTGCTGACACACACACGCTAATGTCGTAGGTGAAAACTGAAATGTGACAGATTTTAGTTTAATGTTATAATTTTTTATTTTCTAATTTTGACATTAAAAATCGAAATCATAAACCTCGAAAACCCCCGTAAGTCAAATTTCAAAACGTTTTAACAAGAATGTGAATTTTTTCAAATTGAAGTCCGTTTCATATTGAAGAAGTTTCATAATGGATCCACCATTTTGAATTTTACAATTCTGACTTCAGAATCGAAATCAGCATCCTCGAAAACCCCCGTAAGCCAATTTTCAAAACGTTCTAAAAAGAATTTAGATTTTTTAAATTTCAGTCCGCCATATTAGATTCGCCATTTTGAATTTTATATTTTTGATTTCAAAATCGTAATCAGCGACCCCAAAAACCTTTATATACATAGTTTGAATCAAATTCGTTCATTCATTTCGAAGAAAAACCACTTTGACGCCAAATGACGTCAATGCCCACTGGGGCACGTCTTTTTCTGGACGTCATGTGGCGTCAATGCTAGCGAAGGGGTTAAAATAATATTACTTATAATGATTCCGTGAATTATTGAAAGAGTTAGAATTCTTAAAGCTTATTTTTAATAAATCAATTTGTTGCACGTTAATTTTATATTTTAGTTTACCGTATTTTATATGAAAAGAACGGTTTTTGACAAAGAATATTTTTTTGATAATGATCTTAAAATGTACTTGTTACAAATTCTAGTAAAACTCATTATTATGAACTTAAAACAAGAATTTATCTTTTTTTAAGAATATATATATATATTATAAAACTGAAGAAACAACTTTTTATATGATAAGCAAATCGAATTTATTTCAATTTAATAATTTTAAATTGGAGTTTTTATAAATTGGAGTATTAAACTTACTAGGATTCAAATTTCAGAATAAATTTGATGAACTTGTGATTTGCGGATATATGAATTTTTTAAATAATAATTTTAAATAGTAATTTTTTAAATAGTAATTATTATTTGCGTACAGCTGTACGTATTTTTCTGTGTATAGGGGATGAAGGGAATACATTCATAACTTCTGATCAGAATTTCAAGATAACATTAATTTTTTTTACGAAAATAAATGTTAAATGTTTTATACATTAAAGATCAATTATTTTGGAAATCTGGCTTTCAATATCATTTTCACCATTCAAAAATCTATAAGAAACACTTTATGTGATATCTATTTTTTCTGTTATGAACCAATATAATGATGTAAAACGCTCAAATATGATGATAAGCAATAGCTGCAAAAAGTTTTAATATTTTAACAATCAGTTTGAGCGTTCTACATAATTATTTTGATTGTCTAACAAAATTATTTTCAAATTTATATCTATATAGCTAAAGTTTTAAATACTTCAGCAAAACCGTTCTTTTCGTGTATTACTTCAAACTTTAGAATAATAATACGTTATTTTTGTGTAATACGTTTGTATTTTCATGTGATTATTAAAACAATTTTAATGTATATACGTTTTATTTAAAACTGCAGGTTTCAAGTATATTTGTACCTGATGCTACAACTTATGCAAAAAATGCTATTGCCACTCTGGGTAAAATGGACAGCAGTACTGGTTACTGGCCTCACAGTATTCAAAAGTTCATCACCCTAATGCCACCTGTATGGATTAGAACAAAAATCGGACAAATTATGAATGAAAATTTCAGACAAGACTATTTTAAGCAACAAAGACAAAAGACATTGCAATAAACTATTTTAAATGAACAGTTATATTTTTTAAAAATATTATCCGTATAACAAATCAAACTAACACAGACTCCTCATAAATCAAAAGAAATTGGAAAGAATAAGGGCAATAGGAGTCAGGCGCAGAAGACGCGCAAATAATACACCCATATATATATATAAAGCGTAAAACTTCTTTATTTTACTAAACGCGCTTACATATTTCGGCTCACTTTTGAGCCTTCTTCAGAGACAACACAAACGAACGTATACAAACTGTGAATAAAAGTTATCTTGTCATGGTGAGCTCCCCTACATCGAGAATATAAATGCCAGAAATTAAACCCAAATAAGAATGAAAGAAAAAGAAAAAAGAAAGGAAATATTGGAAATATCGAAATAGAGAATATGGAAAGTGTGTTAATTTATCAAAAAACTTTAAGATTATAATTAATTATCCCGACAATAAGGACGCTCACCGTAGTCACAGAGCATCATATCGCAAACATTACTATATAATTCAAAAACCGGTTCTTGATATGTTATTCATGATTTGGCCAGTCAGTATCAGACACAGTGAGTCACTTTTAGATTTAGCTAGTATTTTTTGAGATTACAAATGGGAAAATCTGACATTAAAACGTTAATCAATTCCAAGAAAATAAAAATTGGAAAGTAATAAAAAAATCACGCCAGAAAGACTCATTACTGTGTATGAGCGACAATAACTCGACCTTTTATAGCTTGTCTATAATCGGGAGATAGGCCATGTTTCACTTTTCAGTTGAAATATTTCTGAGATATTTCTGAAAACTTTCGGTACTGTATGGAAAGTTTAAATTTCTCTGAAAAGTCTTTCACGTAAGGTAAAGTGAGCCATTTAGTTCGTGGTGTCAACTGCTCATTCGTAACAGAATTTGTATGGTTTTGTTTAAAGTTTTTATTGTGGATTAAAAATTTTATTCTGTTCGTTATTGTTTTGCAAATAAAATCCAATGGATAATCATTGTTAAGCAACATGTGTATAATCAATTCAAGATTTTTTTGATCGAACTCCGGGTGTGAGAGAAGAAATACTTTGTCCATTAAGCTGTTAATTATACGCCTCTTTTTTGGATAACAGGGTGCTGGGATCAAAAATTTAGGAATCTACCAGAGAAGGATGGTTTCTGAAACCAATTAAATTTGATATGATAATCAATGTATGATTAATAAAAAAATTAACGAGTCAATCCTCAATACATTTTATTATGCTATTTGATAAAATATATTTTAGGCACACTTCATCAATTGAGATATCTCATTTTTACATTTAGAGTTGTGTACAACGGCTTCAATGTGCACTAAGTGCGCACAATAAAAACGCTATAATATTCTATTAGTGTCAAGAAAAGAAAGTAACGAAAAAGAAACGACTCGTTACGTTTTGAAGAAAGGTAATGGTAACGAGTTATTTTTATGAGGTAACGTTGCCAACTCTGCATTTTACTATTCCAGAGCTGTCTCAGAAATGTTGCAAACATGGTATTTCGCAATTTTTATGAAATGTTTCACTTTTTAGTTCAAATATTTTTGAGATATTTCTGAAAACTTTCGATGCTATATGGGACCGCGTGTTTGTATAGAAAAAATTGATTGATAAAACTTGACAATTATAAAATGTATATGCATACACAAGTATTCAAGCATAAAATCAGTAGTTTACTTGCAGAATTTTTTTTAAATATTGCTGCAACATTATTAAAATCATGTTGCATATCTACATTTTAACAATGTTTCTGAAACATTGCAAATACGCAATGTTGCAATGTTGTAGCAACCAGATATTGCTGCAAACATCGGTGCTGTATGGGTATATGCCCTTTCAGCATATGCCTTAGGTTATGTTCCAAAATTTATTGTTAGTACTCTGAATCTATAATTTATGTCACGTGCACTATAAACTTTCAGTATTGACAGTAAATTTTGGAACACAGCCTTTAATACGGTACTGGAAACAGCGAACCGCGCGGGAAAGCGACGAGGAATAGGTCACGGTGGCGTGAGGGAAAGTCACGTGACCCGATCGAAACCCGAGCGGAAGCCGACGGCGCCAACGCTCGCTGCTCGCATTTCCCATCCATGAGGCTCGTAAAGAAGACGTTTGGATTATCTCTGCGTTCCAGAATACGAGCAAGATGATGCTGTAGTTTAATAAAAGACTTGCACACGCAAGTGTGCCGACGCCCCTTAAGTAATCATGCGGTAAGTAGTACAAAATTGTTTGTCTCGTTGGGATATTTCGCATAGAGTTCGTGTTTCTTATGCATGTGAGGTTCGTTGGCCATCTTGTGAGTCATAGTCATCGCGTCGAATATGAATTGTCACGATAGAAAGATGGCTATTCCTCCGCCAGTCTCCTTAATTATGAGAAACATTTTACATCATTTCGTTGTTCAATTGCGCATTACGTTAATACACCACGTAAATGTTCACGATCCGTGCACGTTGTCCAATCTCGTCGAAAGATATTGCCAGACGATAATCTCATATTGCGTCATGATGCTTCCTACACCAATATGTAACTGTGGTCGATTCCCCAGCGTAATCTGCATACGAAAAAAAAAATTAGCTTCCGCTGAGATAAGCGAGAAATAATCATTCGAGATTTCCGGTTCGGAACTTTCTATTTTTGTTACTGTCTGAGTGTAAATTTATTTGTAAAACTTGTGAAAAATATATGCATATATATATAATTAAAAATTTAAATATAGAATTTTAATCGAATATATAAAAAACAAAATTTACATTCCATTTAATAGTAAAATTATCAACGATTAATTTCTATCACTTAAGTATATATGTACATACATATATGTATAGATGTTTTTTGTAATTGAGTTAATTTACATTTGTTGTACACATGACGTCACAAATGCCTCGACACACGAAGTTACACGATTATCAGAGAAGGAATGAGAAGATATATTAAATATATTTGAAGTGTGGCGAAAGAAGGTGCTTCCAATAACTAAGTTCGAATTAGTTCCACATTTCTTCAAATTTAATTTTTTCTAAAACAAACAATGCGAACAAGTATTTTTTATGTCTTCTCATTATTATTTTTAGTACACTAACAAATAATTTCACAAAAGAAAGAATTACAATGAATGTTCATGGACATATTTTATATATAATTACATATGTTTATGAATATTTATGCATTTTTATGTATGTTTATACATATTTATGTATAAACATACATAAAATATATTCATGTATGAAAAGTTTTTTTATCGGGAAGTTAAAAAATTATAGTTAAATTTTTTCAATTTACAGTAACGCATTTTAAAACGATAATTTTACATGATTGTAACTTTAAGTAAATTTAAATCTTAGTATAAATTAATAAAAGCATATTACATCTCACAATTTGTAAAATTTTGCGAAATTACCTTTTATTGCTGCTTCAGTTTTATTGCTACTAGCTAATTCAATTTAACTCATGGCGTACAAGTTGAGTTGTTACGAACCATGAAAGTACTAAGTGATTATCATATTTTTCAGTCCTAATGGAACTAACTCAAGTTTGAGTTATCAGAAGCCACCTATAGAATAAGATGAAAGTTAAGGTCTTTTATTTCCACACTAGACTGCACTAGAACTCTTTCTCACTTTTACCAAATGTCAAACGTTTATACCTATCTCACTTTAAGGCCCGATTTCACAATATATGGTTACCTAAAGATTAAAAGGTAATCAAGAAATTCATGAATGAATTCCATTGATGAATCTGTTGGTAACCTTTAATCTTTGGGTAACCATATATTGTGAAAATGGGCCTAAATAGTGTACACAAAAGTATAATCAGATTAAACCTAACCACAAGTTAACCAGATAATGGAAAATCGGAACTTAGTGTTGTCCAGTGCGGAGACGAAGAACAAGACAAAAATCAGACAACTATTAAAAAATATAACTATAAAAATGAAATTTGTTTGAGGTGTTCTGAGCACTACACTTATTTATAGGTTAAAAAAATGGGAAAGCAAGAGAAATGTTTATTTTCTTTTGTTATTTATATTCTTTTCTTATTCTCACTATTTGTTCGTTTCTTTGATTTGTTATTAATATAGAAATCATTGTTTATTTTTCAGTGCCAATATGGCGTTCATTACTAGCTACGTCGCTAAGCCGACCAAAATTTCTTTTCATCATTCTTTAATATCCTTCGGTTGGATTCGCATTGAAGATGTCATCCAGTCAGGAGCAGGAGATGTGGCTATGGAAGTACGAGCCGGTGTCCCGCAGTGGGACACCGTCATTAGAAATTGATGACGATTGGCCTTTATTCGATGATCATTCTGTAGAAATTTCTAATAATACTGCGGAAGCTGTTATGTATGAAGACCATCCTTCCCGTGCACAAGTGGCAAAACAGCTTTTAGAAAAATTGGACGAATGGATTAAAGAAGGTAAATATATTATTTTTGTTTCTTGTCTATTTAATAACGAATTCGATTGGACGTATTTACAAAAAAGAACCTTACAAAGTATTAAATTCTGGTTTTCAGGAAACTTGTTTATAACTAACCATAAGTCACATAAATAGATGAATTTAGAAAATTTCATTTGGTATGGAAAACGGTTTTGGTATTGGATTAACTGTTTTAAGGAATAAAATCACTCCTTATGGATAAAGTGGTTTTTAGATTTTTTTTGTAATATCTCAAAAACTATTTGAAATATTAAAAAATGTTGTATATGCACCAGTGTGCATTAGTGTGTCCAACCGAATTTATTATAAATATCTACATAATTGTGTGTATAAATCGATAACGGTATTTATATCTGATAAATATTCATATTGCAACGAGCGACAAAAATTGGTAATTTAATGATATTCTATTTCGTTTTACATGAAAAAAAACTGAGCATATCTTAAAATTTTGAGTATCTGTGTGCGAATATACATGTGTAAAATTTTATTATTCTAGAATATGCTTAACATACAAAAATACAATTTTAAAAATCTTGTATGAATATAGTCTTATCTACGTAAGCTCTTATCTAAGAACA